TTTTTTTTTTTTTTTTTTTTTTTTTTCCCCGCGCGGAATTGAACTCTGCGTTCGGTCCCGTTCATTGAACGCGCGTGCATTCCGTTTAATTTCTGAACGGAAAACCCGCGTTCAATGAACGTGCGGTTTCACAGCCTCCAAGAAGGCATATAGAAAGTTCCTCTAGCCATCTTGCATGCCGACCCACGCAGTCGGGCCACGTACCCTTCCCATGCCCTCCAAATTCCGCATGAATGTAACACCTCGTCCACCTCCTCTCCTTCCCAGTTGCCGCCCGACGCTACATCCATCCGATTGTCGAAACTGCAGCCAAGGGTGACAAGAAAAATAGACCAGCAGTACACACGAAAATGACTTCAGGATCGTTCCCGAATCGTTTTCGCAATCTCTAACAGAGCGTTGCACATCATGAGGTTCGCCTGATCGGCCTTTTCGTAGTGCTGTCTCTGGATGTCCACCTCCCGCTCGAGAATATCACACTGCCTCGTCAGAACCGAGCACTGTCGTTTGCTCGCAGAGTCCACTGTTGTCGCCATCAGTTGCCCGTGCTTGTCCATGACGTCTGCGATCGCCTCAAAGGTCTGTTGTCTGACATTTTTCCTTTTTCCTGCCCCTCCACCACTCCCGCTGGTAAACGTTGAATCCCGCGTCAATCCCGCCTCGTCGTCCTGCCCCTCTCCAGCCCCCTCGCTAGGCACCGACTCCTGCTTTCCGGCCGCAGAACCGCCCATCTGGACACCCCCCTCCGCTCCCGTGTCCGCCAGGTTGGCTGGATGGACGGTGTGATCTGCCTTCGTCATGACCTCCATCTCCCGGTACACACGCTCATCCATCCGAAAGTCGAAGTCTTTCTCCCTCCTTTGCGCAGGCGTCAAAGTGAAGAAATTCTCTTTCCCGGACAAAACCATGAATTTATGAACGCGTTTGAACTGCTGATAGAGGTTGTCCCATTTCTTCTCGCAGTCGTCGGCCTTCCTGGTTGTCACCCCGGCCTTCACTTGCCTCTTTTCCACATCATCCCACTTCAACTTCCACGTCCATGATTTCATCCACCCGTAGTTGTGTCCAAGGCCCACGAGATGCACGTCCTGGTCGCGTTTAGCTCAAACGAGAGCGATCATATGCTCGACCGACGAAAACTCTTTGCTTTTGCTTCCCTCGCCTGCCAACGTGTCTTCTGCAGCCTTTTTCCCCTTCCTCCCCGTGCACGCTTCACTACACTTCTTCGGGGCAAACCGCACTCCCCGTTTCCTCCCGACTAGACGGATGTCCATTTCGTTGTCCTCCTCTTTTTCGTCATGGTCGTTTGCACCGTCTTCACGTCCGCTATCTTCAAGCCCTCCATTGTCGTTGTTGGCGATTGTATCTTCTATACCGACGTTCATCCTCGCCACACCTCTCGTTATGCCGGACGTTGTCGATTGCCTCAAATGTCGTCGCTGATCTTCCCACACCTGTCGTCTGACAACCTCTGTGGCCGACCACTCCTCGCCTCCTTACCCATCTGTCGCATTAGTGGGCCTCGTCGATCTGCACGGTTGTGACCCGGTCGTCCTCGTCGTGGACGCAGCCACACCGACATTGCCAGCAGCCCCACCCGTGCCGAATTCGATCCACGATTGTAGGGCAACCCACGCTGGCGCCCGTCGTCATTTGGTGGAAGCCCACCCGTCCTCCCCGATGGCCTTGCGTCAAAGCTTGCTGAAGCGGGGCTGACCACAACTGTGTCCGAGACGTCGTCACAACTACCCGGCCTCAGACCGAAGCTGAGGTTGACCGCCCTTGCGTCGTATCCTGCCAGTGCACGCCCCTCCAGAAGATCGGTGTACGTCGGCGTCGGTGGATGTGTGAAGTGTTGGGTTCCCATCCAATCTTGCGTGGAACCGCTGCCCAACGGAACCGTGGCGGACAGAAGATCGTCGACTTCGTCGTCCGACGGAGATAACGGTGTCTCCCATGAAGGCAGGTGGCTGTACATCGCGGGGTCGTATGGCCACCTGCCTCCTTCCGCACACGACAAACGCATTGTTGATGACACCCCCTCCCCCCCCCTGGAAGTCGCCGTCTTCTTGTGGACGTTGTTCATCTTCGTCGATGCCTTCTTCGACAATCGTCGCGTCACTCTTCAACGACGACCACGCCCGACAAAACAAACGTTGAAAACGACAATGACGACTAGCAGCACAACGACGAGCAGCAGCAGAGGCAGCCTGTGAAACAGGCCAGCCATGGACTGCAGGGAAAACGAACTTCGCCACTGGCTGAGGCAACACGTGCGAACACATTGGGGGGACGCACATGACGAGAGGACGCATTTGTGCATGCAGGGACCATGTGAGGACGGCTGCGATTTCGTAAACATAATCGTTGTGGAGCCCGCTAGCAGCTCGACAGCCCGAGACAAGCTGGCCGAATATGGTACAAGGGCCGCCCAGAGGACGAACACGGTCGTCGGCCGAATCGCTGCCAACGGTAAGTTCGTGGAGGCCGTTGGAGAACGTCCAAGTGCTGGAGGAGGGGGGGTGGGGTTTGGGGGCACGATGTCCATGTGCAGGCCGGTGGACCACGAATGGACCACCTCGTGTCTCCAATTTCCGTTGTGGAGTCGTCACTGCCGGCTCGTGATTCGTGGATCCTCGGGCTCCAAAGGACCTCGCGAGGTCATTCGGGCTCAAGGACGATTTGGCTGGGAAATCCTCGGAGCCCGAGGATTCGTCCTCGGAGCATTTTCACTTTTTTTTTTGGGGGGGGGGGGGAATCAGTTCCGAGGACAGGTGTAACGATGACGAATTCCTCGAAATCTTGTCCCCGAGGAGTGGCTAACGAAGCCCTTAGTCCAGCTGCTTATTTTTCTTAGAAGCATTTGCTTTATGGGACGCTGGACCCGATTTCCAGCACAAGCCTAAGCTGGGTAATGGCCCCAGTTTTTCCTCCGGGTTGTCATGTCGAGGTTTTCCCGGCCTCGTTTTTTTTTCTTCTTAAAAGAGCGATTGCATTGAGGTATTATCATCGGACTAACCAGCCCATATAAATTCAATCTTGTGTCTAATCTGACAACGGTGGCCTTTTCAGCCCAGGGTGGCCTAATAACCTTAGGGTGGCCTGATAGCCTTAGGGTGGCCTGATAGCCTTCAAGGGCCCCCCACTGGGGACAGCCGGTAGCAGAGGGACTGAGCATCATCTGAGTGGCCAGTCGTTGTGCCTCCCTGAGTACCCCTCCCCCTATGAACATCAGCAGAGACTGCTTTTTAATGCCAATTGGTTGGGAATAAAGCAAGTGTTTTCCAAAAAAAAAATAAAAAAAATCCCAAGTCGGTTGTGGTGTGGCGAGGCCCTTGGCCCCTGGCGCGGGGCAGCACTCCTTTGTGCTTTTTTTTTTGCCCTTTTCCCAGTACTATTTGGTTATCGCTCCACTACTCTACTCTCGGCCACACAATTTTCCACATCTAAGGAGGGAACCGGACGCCGCCGCGGTTAGCGCTACGCGCAACTCGCCATGACAAACAGGGTCCCATGTGTCTTTTTCGATGTTCCCAAGGTTGGGGCAGTGCCGCTTGACCGTCATGGTTCGGCTATGGCAGTTAGGGTACGAGAGCCCTTTTCCATCTAGGAAAAGAACGCCTCCTATTTTTGGAGTCGAGCTCTTCGCCTGATAGCGGCCGCTCTTCCCTCCTACTACCCCCCCTCCTACGAAAGTTTGATGCGAACAGACAGGATAGAGACACAAAGGTTGATTCAAGAACTTCAAAGCCTCCCGAAGCTCCCCCGGATTGGGGAGATAAGCGAACGGGTGTGATGTTAACAAGAAAAGGTATATCTGACACAGCTCTTGAAAACCTCGTCTGGATAGAGAGTGCTTGGTCTTACTCTAATTTATAGAAGCCTCCATATGGTAATCAACTATTACTGTGTATAACTAATTAACGGATGTGTTGACTTCACCTAATTAGTACATTGCCGCCCTATGTTTTGACTAATGAATCTGGGAGTTATTAAAACCTACCAATGGACGAACAGGGAGAAGGGGGGGGGGAGGAAACAAACGAGCTTATACGATGGCAGAAAAATAACAGATCAACAAATTGTTGGATGCATGTTTTAAGGATGGAATTCTGTCAGCTGGACTGGACATTGGGGTTGCGAGTTTGACCGAGGATATTGCTCGGTTCGACCTTGATGCAGAATTTTCTAACCATAACATAGAATGGTTGAAAAAGCATGTAGTGACAATCCAATTCCAGAATGATGCCATAACTCTCTCCAACAAATTGAAGAAAAAGTTGGTGAGAGTGTATGAAAACTCATGAGTCTCATGGTATGATGTTGGCCTCATTGATGAAAGAGTCAAACGGGGCCGATACCAGAGCGAAGGTAAAAACCTTTGCTCCTTTGTTTCTTCCCAGACTAACGTGGTGGAGTGGATGCTCCAAAAGAAATCGGACGTTATTTATGTGGAGGGAAAAGAATATCGAGTGACATTTACTCCATGGATGACCTTTGTGGAAATGAAAGATTTCAAGGAAGGAGCTCCAAAGGTATTCTGGATTAGATGTCCACGAGTCCCTCTGCAGTTGATGCCAGCATTACAAGTCACCGTGGAAGGCACCTTTGGAAAAGTCCTTGTGGTCCACTCAACTGAACCAGATGAAGAAGAATCGGAATTGGGAACTGTCAGATTTGATTTAGAAACCAAGGCCAGAGAAAGCGTGAGATCGAGATTAGTAGTTGGAATTCCCAACCATGGAGATTATTTTTTTGAAGTGATTTCGGCGAACACCCCCTGATGCGATTCTTGCCGCGCGTTCTATCACACTGATAAAGATCCTTGTTGCCCAGTCAATATCGAGGCAAATCCCTTTGCGGACACCGATGAGAAGCCAATTGCTCCTGACCCTCCCTTCTCAGGGTTTGTACCGGTTGGGGAAGCCCCCCCACTGTCAGGATTCCGCCGCTTCCCGAATCGAAGAGATAGGGATGATGGACGTCGAAAACAGAAGTGGAAACATGGATCCCGTAAAAACTATGACCGCTCCTATAAGGAGGCGGTCAAATCGGACAGTTCAGCGGGGAGCAGGAGCAGAAGGGGAGGTGGAGGCAAAGATGGATCCAGAAACAGGAGACAGGAAAAAGGGCAAGAGAAACCCACTCAGTCAAAGGACTCTACCCTGAAAGGGGTTCCAGACGATGGGAAGGGAGTGTCAGAAGAAGAAGAAGAATCGGAAGGGGAGGAAGAGGAAATGAAGTCGGAACTGGAAGGACATGCAGTAAGAGTACTCGCAGGGAGAAGCGACAAATGTAAGGAGGCGACCCACCGGAAATGGGTACCGGTGGCAGGGGGAGAAGGATCGGAGGACAGGGGACTGTTTGACCTTATGGAAGGAGGGATAAGGACAGATGGAGCCTCTAGATTCAGAGAAGAGCCCCTACCCGCTGTCCCTATCACGACTCTTAATGCATCAGACTTGAACATTCCAAGAATCTTCGTCCCACTGATTTTTGCCGACTCCAACAATGGAGTCATGGTTATGGCAAACATTTTGGCAAATGGGGATATGGAGCTGCCGACTTCCTATACGGAAGAATCACTGACTCAGTCGATGATTTTAGCGAAAGCTAAAAAGCTTGTGCCGGCATGCCTGAAACTGCGGGTCATACCAATACTAAGAGTAAAAGTGGACACAGCATAGGACAACTTAGGAAACAGAGCAAGATTGTATTATGTCTTTTTGGACTCTAGAATGTCTAATGATGTCAAACAAGTCCCTTCGTCCTTGGATAAGGACTAGTTCCCGCTTGCCTTGCTCAAGTCGCCCTTGAAGGTTTGGATCGTATCAACTTCAAGGGCCACTTCACCGCCAGAACAATCGCACGATGGTTTTTTTCACTCAGGGCACAGACAGGTTCTGTTCTCTGACTCCATGGCGGAAACCATTCGCCTACCGTGGGAAGAATCTATGACAGAAGGGGATTCGGAGGGTGTGCGAAGGAGGAAAACGGGAGAAACAGACTTGGAACCCGGTGGCCGCATCCATAGCAAATACAGCACCGAGATGACGGATGCCTCTTAGAGGTGAACTTCACATTGCTT